GTTGGAGGCTGAGCACTGGAGGGAATGGCACATGCTAATAGCCTTTCCTAAGCTGGCAAGTGACTTTGCAGGCCTTGCAGTCGTTATGGCAGGTGTGTAACCCCAAACTACTCTCTCTAAATGAGATTGTCATTCCTGCATGCTGTTCTGGGAGCTGAAAAGTATCCTAATTACTTCACAGGGCCAAGCTGCTTGCTGAATGAGGCTGCGATAGGTTCAGGGGAGGCTTTTGATTAGCTTCACTCTATTCACAATAGTGAATTCCTGATGGGGTCATCTTTGGTTGTTCTTTGTGTCCTCTAGTACAGAGATTTGTTGTATTTTTCTCGCTTTTCTTTGTTGTCGTCCCCCTGTCGGCCTTCCCTTCTTTGAGACTTCATGTTGAACAAGAGATACATGTTAGACGTGTGTTACTCACCCGCTCCCATTGTTCCTCTTAGCTGTTTGGAGGCAGACTTACCCAAGAAAAGTGTGTTGGCTGTGCCTGTAACATGCATAGCATCTTTGCTTGGAGGGAAGACAGCACTGTATTTCGTAGCTTTGGCTCTAGCTATATCTGAATTGTAACCAAATTCTCTTTCCAGCACAAACAGCTGCTCCAGTGAAGTCAGGGACTTGGAGCCAGCCCAGCAGACATGCTGTAGCTACCAAGGATGTGGGCGGGAGTGAGACGGTAGCTTTGCGAGCTAGTTCAATTTTTGAGAGCCAGGCTAATGGGACCGGGGAGACAGGCAAGCGGAAAAGAGATTCTGACCTACGCAGTTCTTATCCTGCCTTCTCTATGGCAGAGTGGGAGTTTTTTCCAGGAGAACGCAGAGTAACGTGGCCAGCATGCTGTCGTATTCTTTTCCCGAGGGGGTGAGTGTGTGCAGTGCAGGGGTTTGCCCTCACATTTGTATAGTCATGTGTGTAAACACATGCATGTACATCCATGCAGTGGTTGAAATGGGCTGGCATATGTGAAAACTATGTTCTGTTGGATTCTGCAGCTGTGTAGTTGAACAGAAATACAGACATTTACACATTATCATTCCGAGTGTGTATACGTATATAATATATGCATTGTGTGTGCATGGTCTCTAACATATGCACACAGACGGACACGTATGCTCAGAGACATGCGTTTTGCATTCTGAGCTTTGTGATGCTCCTGAAGAGGTCATGTTTCACAGCCTGAGACCAGCCCCACACAGATGACGGTTACCCTTGTTTTTGAGAGCTCTGTTCATGCCAGAGGAGCAAAGCTGTCAACCAGTAACTTTAGCCCAGTATTTTTGTTGATCTTCCTAGACAATGTGAGCTCAGATCCAAGTGCTTTCAGATGAGGATGACACTGTAGAATTGCATTGGCTGTCCTTTGGCAGTCAGTTAGTGCAGGGTAGAGAGGACAAGTCCAGTGATTTTTTTTCACTGCTGGAGAAATGTACCTTAGCATTCTGTAGCAGCTGGAGTCTATCTTCACAAACAGAATATAAAACAATGAGGTAGCAATAGACAGCGTGGGAAAGAGGAAAGCAAGCCCTAACTGAAGAAGGTATCTTGCCCCGTTGTATGAGCTTTCTCTGCCTGCTATTTTTGCTCTGGCAAGACTATTTTTTTCCTGTTTCACAGCAGCCAGGCTCTTCCCCCTGCCCCGCTCCATGCTCTGCTTGCTCCGTCTGTGTGCTTGTCTTTTTGATGTCAGTAGTGCTATTTGATTTGTAATGAGGAAACAGAACGCCTTTTGCCATGCTGCATTTGCTCTCTCCAGTCCTCTGAACCCCTCAAAGCGGGAGGATCAGATTCAGCCATGGAACAGCAAGCATCCAACCAATCTCTTAGGGCTCTGCAGAGGCAGCTGGCGTTTGAGAAATAAGGGGCAGCGGGGAGCAATGTCTTCAGGGATCACAGCAAGCCGCTATTACGCTTATTTGTTCTGCTGGTTTGTGACGCGAGGATAGCCACTGCTACGTTAGATGACTGCACTGTCTCATTTTAGAAGCCAGGAAGGCCTGTGCATGCGTTTCTCCATTCATTAACCAGCCTCTTGCTTAGGCAGTACCCTGTTTCGGATCTGGAGGCGCATTCAGACGCTCACTGTGCTGTTTATTACACCTGAAACATCTGGTCCTGACTGTGATCAGTCATTGCAGTACTTTTCATGGAATTGCTGCCAGAATGCAGGAGCTGCCTTTCGAAGGCCCAGAGATGGTTTCCTCCCCCAGCACAAGATGAGTATCTGAGGCGGTGTGTGGTTTTGCATGGCCCATTTCAGAACAGAGCTGTGTGGGACTTTTGATTAAGTGGATATGGAACTGTATCAACTTCATTTTTATAGGATCTCAGAGTTTGTCACAGCTGAAGCTCTTTTCTGTAGGAACATAGCTTTGACGGAATTTACCTCTTGCTGTTTTACTCGTGTCTGGTTTAGCTGTCTGCACTTGCTGTTGCCACAGGAGGGATTTGAAACCTTTCCTTGACAGACCTCAGTGTTGAGTAGTAAAAGCGTATCTTGAGAGACTGTACAGGGTCTGAGGGAGAGTATGGGCTCATATGAGGTCTCTCCAGTATCTTTGTGTTATTCCATGTTCCTCCATTCCATGGAAGATTTTTTTTTCCCCCAAGTGGAAGTCCTTTCTCTGAACTTTGGCTTTCACACATGGTGGTTCTCTTGAAAATGATGGCTTGCTGTTGTGCTACCTCAGCCTTCAAGCATGGAAGGAGGCAGGGGCACAAGAAGACAGCTGGGCAGACTTCTCAAGGGGCATCTGTCATTTCAGACAACACCCAAGCTTCCTAAAGTGTGTCAGTAACTCAGCAAGTTACAGAGCACTGAAAGCTGCAGTGACATGGATGAAGTCCACTTAGCCTTTAGGCTGGCTTAGTCCTGTGCAGGCAAAAGGGAAATTGTGGGCAAGAGGAGCATCTGTGGGGCCTGAGGTTGGCTATCACAGTGCTCTCAAGATACTGCTGCACCTGGCTAGCTGATGCCCAGTAGCCTTTTGGAGGTGAAAGGTTCCTGGGCTAAGAAACGGGCACAGTGTTTTTGCTGTTGTTCACGTCAGGTGCTAAGGGCTAAAATCACAGCAGTCTCGTCTTTCCATGGACCATGCCAGAGCAAAGCCAGTATGTGCACCAAACATTCAGTTTCTCAGTCTCCAGGATTACGGTTTATGAAGTCATCTTTCTTATTTCAGTGCTAGGTGGCAACCGTCAGCTTCAGGGGCCTCAGCAAATTCTGGAGCGGTGAGAAGCTTTTGAGACCCAAGATCAGAATTGACTCTCCATGCCTCTGCTACTGAACTGAGCAGGAAGCCTGATGTGGGACACTTCTGGAAGTATTTATATCTGTGGGAATCAGGCACCAGCTCAGTTAGGCACAGATTGATTTTCTGCAAAATTTTCCTTCTCTTCCCTCATTTCCTGCCAGTAGTAAAGTTCACAGCTTGCATGTGTTGATAGGATCATTTCAGTAGCTGGTGGGCTGTGGGAAAAACTAGTCCCCTCTGCATTCTAGTCCCTTAACCATGCTTGTAGGTGCTGCTGCTACGCAATTATTACTGCTGCTGGTTTCTGCTTCACTTTTATTAAATGGTGTTTTCTGTTTGCAGTCTGCTAAATGGTTTGTTGGCTTTAGTTTTGTTCATGTAATAACTGTTGCTTTCCTGCCAGCACCAGCTTCACTGCCTGGGGTAATGATTTTTTGGCTATTCAGAAATGAGTATCAGAAGGTGTCCATTTAATTACAGGACATCTCGGTATAAATTTCCTGCATATCCAGTGTGGTAGTCAGTTCCCTACTGCAAATCAGTTTTTATGCTCTCTGTCCATTTTTGTCAGGGAAAAGGTAGGACCTAGGTTCAGCATTAACATACCTGACTTTTCACAGTCTGTAAATCTAGGCCTGTCTCCGTGTGCACTACAATAGGAGTTTTGTGGGAAACCTAAATGCTGATGTGGAAAAAAGCAGTCTGCAAGCATTGGAATTTATGAAACTGTATGTCCTATGGCGTTGACTCTCCCAGTTTAATTCCCTGGGATCTTATAGCAGTGTGAAATCCCTGTGTGGATCCATGAATGTTTAAAAGAAATTTGAGTTAATTTTCGATTTTTTTTCCTCAGAGAATCCCTGGTAATAGGAATTCATTTTTATATCCATCAGCCTGTCTCCATTGCACTGGTATCCTTGGAACTGCTTGTCTTCTGCCAGATTTGGTTGAAATTGACTGCTGGGCTTTTAAAGATCGTAAGCTAGGTTACATGGGCACATGTGAGCACAGAGGACTTTTGTGTTGTGTCTGTAGCAATCCAGATGCAGAAGACATAATTTATTAAGTATGCTTTTTTATATTATGGGTCTTCCAGGGAGCAGGTTTTGGTCAACACAAGCTTGCACTGGATTAAAATGTGCAGCTGAGAACTGGAAGACTTCCACATCTCTCAAATGTGTGCCTCTGTGTGTGCTGTACTGTTCTGTCACCTGAGCGTTCCTGTCCTATTACACAGAACCATCTAACCAGACTCACTCACTATTCTGAAATCTTGTAATGTGCCCCATGATTTTGTTTTCAACACCTTCCTGCTCTGACAACGGAAGGAACCGTACTTCCAGTAACATGCTGTTTGCGTTAATAGTAGTTGTAGATCAGTTGGTTGGCGGGAAAGAGCATTGTCCAGCTTCCCTCACTCCCCCGTGCAGACACTGTCTGGAGCCACCCTGTGCCTCCTCCCACTGCCTGCCTTCCCACAGAGCTGCGATACTACGGCTCCCTCCAAGAGCCTGCAGCATTCCTAATCCATCCACTCCATCTCTCTATGCCTCTCCCTGTCACTGACTGAGGTCTCATGCACTGAACACAAGCCTGGTTTTTAGTGATTGCTGTTCCCAGAACTCAGCAGGCTGAAGGGGGTGGGAGGGAGATAAACATCAGAGTTCAACATCCAGACAAACACAGCAGAGCACACACAATAAATAAATCCGCTTCCAAATGCAAATACATCAGAAGCGATTCCTTCCCCAGGGCTCGGAGCAGGCTCAGACAGGAGAGCAACATGATGAGGTGAGTGCAGTTGCAGGGACCTCCCCAGCTCCTCTGTCCACTTGGCTTTGTGCAGGCCTTAGAAGGCAGGAGTGTGATTCTCATCTTTTTTAGCTGTTACCACAGTATGACTCCACTGATACCTCCTGATTTCTTCCACTGTCAAGTGAGAAGGGTGTTGGGCATGAAGATTTCAGCTAGCACTGATACACCCGATTTGGTATCGAGGCTGGCAACTTGGATGTGTGGCTTTTGGGTTGTGATCTGAGTTGATGCTCACTCTTTCTCTGTTAATCTCTGTTCCTTTGACACAGGCTGTTTGTCTTGCTAGCTGTGCTTTACAGTGGAGTAAGCAGCAGCATTGTGCTGCAGAAAATGTATGGAAGGATCACGTCCCCCAGCTTCCCAAATGTCTACCCAAATCACAAGGAGAGAATCTGGAATATTACTGTTCCCAAGGGATATTCTGTCCGCATCTACTTCACCCATTTCAACCTGGAGCTGTCCTACCTGTGTGAATATGATTATGTGAAGGTATGTGTAGGGCAGGGTGACGTGTAGCAGGCTAAGTTGTTAAAAACTGTGTATGTGTGATCCTGGACACATGCAGGATCAACATAACTGATGTAAGCCTTTGATTCCAATCTGCTAGTAAAGTTCAGGCTCAGCTGATTCCTGAATGATGTGTTTATTGAGGCCCATGGGACCAGGAAGTAGAACTGAATGTCGTGTTGGAACATCTGAAAGTTGAGTTGTTTGTGCTCAGAAGATTCTGGTGTTCCCCTCTCATGAAGCAAAAGGTTTGAAATTTTGCCCAAAACAACATTTGAGGTTCATTTTGCTGAAGTTACAGTGTGTGTTTTAAATTAACAAGTAGTGCTTTAGACAGAGTATTAATGGGAGACCGTGAAAGTCTAAATGATAGTCTAAACAAGATACTGTCAGGTCGTCTAAACGTGCACTTGCTATCACGTGTTTGCTAGCTAATGTGAGAAACAACCTCAGGAAAAGAAACAAAGATGCTGTCTTCGGGCAGTGTTTGGGTGATCAGCTCTATCCCTGAAAGGTTTGTACTTGATGTTCTAGCATGTGCTTTAGTCTGGGCAGCCCTGTCGCTGATCTGGGGCCATGCTACCTCTGCACTCGTTTTGTTGTTTGCGTGGGCCTGACACACATTAAAGAAGGAGCTGTATACACAGGAAGTTTGCAAAACCAGTGCAGTCAGCAGTACTTTTGAATCGAATGGAACCAAATCAGGCAGCCTTGTTCTCGTTTAGGAAGATCCTATTTCCATGGTTTTATATGACAAGTTTCTCCCATTCCCCAAATCCTTGTTGTTCTTTCTGTAATTTTCTTTGGGCAGGACAGAGTACTTGTTTCTGATAGGCCTGTAGTACACAGTTCTATCACTACCATGCACAACATGAACCCTAGGTATCAGAACATTTCTCCTGTATTAAAAACACAAGAGAAATGAAGAGCTGGAACTGTAATAAGTGAATCATAGAGCAAGTGAGTCACTAGTTTAAAGAGACCTTTTACTATACATTTGAATTTGTCAGCATGTGAAACTTTTTTACCCCAGTTGTCTCTGGCTTTACCAAGATCTGATTGTCACTGAGAGTGCCAAGTTAACAGGCATTATAAACAAAGTATGATGCTGATAGACCAGGCTGGCATCACAGCTTCACGTGGGCCTCTGAAAGGAAAAAGAGAAGCCAAATTATGGGCTTTAGTCACACAGAATAGGGGAATTTTTCTCTTACCTGTCCCTGTGTCTGGATTGACCTCCGGAAGCATTTTGAGAGCGTCCAGGCCTCCTTTCGCACACCATTAAACACATGCATTCCAAGCCATGGCAGCAGGTTGGAGAGAGCAAAGCTCCGTGCTCATTTGGTTGATGTGTCTGCTCATTTTGCAGCTGAGCTCTGGTGGGAGGGTCTTGGCTACACTGTGTGGAAAGGATAGTACAGACACTGAGGAGGCTCCGGGCAACAAGACATATGTCTCCACTGACAACAACCTCATGGTACTGTTCCGATCTGACTACTCCAATGAGAAGCCATTCACAGGCTTTGAGGCCTTTTATGCTGCTGAAGGTAAGAGACCAGCCCCTCTTGCAGGTGGAAGAGACACAGCTGTGGTGGGGTTGGTGCTTCCCTGTGCTCTCACAGACTGCAGCTGCTGGTGGGAGGTGGGAGGTGGCCATCTTATCGTACGGAGGCAGATGCAAAAGGACACAGCAACCAAAGGCAAACTAGTCAAGTTCACGAAACAGAGTGGCTCAGACTAAGACAGAGTGGTGTTGGAGGGTGTTGGTTGCCTAATTCTGTGCTTCACCCGTTAGATATCAATGAGTGCAAGCAGCTGTTTGATGGTGAACCCCTCTGCAATCATCACTGTCACAACTACGTGGGGGGCTACTACTGCAGCTGTCGGATTGGCTACACACTGCATGAGAACAAGAGGACGTGCACAGGTGAGCTCATGCTAGACCAGGAGATACTTCCCTACCTACAACATCCACTTAAATCCAGCCCTGACAGTAGCATCAAGATGAAAGCTGTGCTTTGTTGTTGTTGTTTTCAGTATTCCCTATGTGCCTGGTGCAGCTGGAAGAAGGTACGGGGGGTTAGTCAGGGCTGTGAACAGAGGCCCTGGTTTGCAGCGTGGCTGTGGGCTACTTGCTGCCATTAGGGGCAGCAATATTGTGTTGCAGTTAAATGGTGTGCTGGCAGTTGGATTTGGTTACTCCTTAGGCAGCATCCACCTGTGTTCAGCTTTAGACAGATTGAATGGAGAAGCAGGAAACTTGTCTTACACTTTCTATCACAGATGATTCCAGTCTTCATGGTTGCCAGTGCAGCCAGCCTCGCAAAACTGCGTGTGTCTTGTTCCCTGGGTACTGAGATACTGAGTATTCTGGACCTGAGTTAGTAGGTGTGTTGGAAAAACCAATCAAGTTGCAAAGTCTAATGGAGAAATAGTTTGCTACTCTCCCTGGAAGGACACAGGCTAAGAAGCAGCACTGTCCACGTATCACTGACAGCAGATACAATGGTCCACCCATTAAATGGGAGACAAGGCCAGGCATGGATCTCTTGTTCAGAAGGGCATACACCATGAGGTTTACCTAGCTGTCTTCTGCCTGGCTCTGCTTCTCAGTTCCCAACTAGAGAAAGCTTACGTGTCATCAGGCAGCGAAGTGTCTGTCTGAATCAGCACCGTGATCGGCACCTCAGGATTCACCTTGCAGTGAAACATGTGCCTACACGTGGTGTCAGATTCATCCTTTGTGGGTGCAGCTTTGCCCACCTGGAGCTGAGTCCTGTCTGGAAAGAACCAGTACACATACTGCTCGCTAAATATTGTCATAGGTGAGAAGATAGTTTCTTGGAGCTCCGCCGTGCTGAAATGCGGGTTTGGATTTAACTTCCAGTGCTTAAGGCCGCCTTGGCACTTAGCTTCAGAGCTCCAGTCTATTACAGACCCTCTCCAGCCATGGCTCGCTGAGTCTGATTTAGCATTCAGACTCCTCTGATCTCCAGTGTATTGGAACAGACCTATGCATTCAACCTCCCCTTCCTAAAGTGATGGCTTTTAGCACAAGTATATGGATTTACTTACGCTATAAAGCGTGTGCCTGATCTTAATGTGAAGGTGCAAAATGAATAGCTGTGAACTGGCAGACTAGTGGCTTTGCATTGACCCTGCGTGTGTGCATACAGAACGCTAGCAGTGGGAGCTTGTCAGCAATATTGAAGGGCTGGGCTACCCCGAGGGGTGGAGACGTGTGCGTTGGGAATTACTGTGCTGCAGGTGATGTGCTGGAACCTGTTCACATTTCAGAGGCCTTTAGATGCAAGCACTGAAGCCGCTCCAGTCACTGGTCTGGGATGCAAAGCAAAGGTCTCTCTGGATTGCCTTCATGAGATGAGGGCAAAAGCTGCCCCTCTGATTTCTGGGCCCCCGTTGAGCAGGCTGATACTGACAGGCTCTTTTTTTTTTCTCCTTTGTTTTCCAGTGTGAGATAATTAAGCTTCTCCTCGCTTAGGCAGAGATGGAGACAGATGTGCTGGGAAGAGCTGGTTTGCCCCCTCTCCTGACCTGCCTGTTGCAGTCTGCCCAAGGGCTGCAGGCTGCTCTTGCTCAGTGATTTGTATGTCTTGGTTCCTTGCCTTTCAGACCTGCCTCCTGCAGACAATAAAGAGGCTGTTCCTTGTTGCAAGGAAGAGGCATTGTGAAAGGCCCCTGAGCATCACAGCTGCCTGAAGACTCTTGAATATCTTGTCCAGCTCTTGTTGCTTGACCTGCCATAGTTCTTAAACTGGAGCAGGACCAGCACCACACATTTGTTCCCTAACGTTCCTTTTAGATAGGCTCTTGTCTGCACCCAAACTTGTAGTTTGAAACTATTTGTACTCAAGAGCCCATTCACTCTTTGGAAAGGTTTGAATTTATTTTTTTTTTAAATCCAAATTTTGTGACTCTGGCCATGTCTGCCATTAGCCTTATGGCTAAAATGTGTTCTGGTGAGCAAAGCCGCAGAGTTCCAAAAGTTTGGTAAAGTAATATGGACGTCACCAGGGCAGCTTGGGTGTCTTGCCTTCACACAAGGGAAGGCAGCACTGCCCTCCCCACAACAGATGCAACACAAGGAATGCTGTTCTTCAGCACAGTTGCTTGTGGTGTTGATTGATACTGTCTCAGTCCCTCGCAGAGCCTTTCACTACTCCACATTAATATCCATTTATTGTCCTTTTGGACTGTACCCTCTGTGGGCAGGGACCATCTTCTTGAAACATGTTGAGAAATGCTGTGCTCCATACTTGTCGGTGACTAGAGCTCCCCAACTCTGTGGAGGAGACATGATGATTATTACAAGAGGTTAACAAGTCAGAGCTGAGCAGCTGTAGGTGAACTGCTGAAGATAACACAAGGCTTTATTTAAAAAACTCAAGGGATGAAGGAGCATTAGTCGATCAGCTTTTCCTTATTTCTGAAGTTTTGCAGGAGTTGCTTTTAATTGTGGTTTATGAGGCTCAGTTTCTCAACCTCATCTCCACTCTTCAGTGCCTGGAGTAAATGGGGGAGGAACCCTTTTGCAAGTGAGCATGGGAGGAGCAGAGAGGCTTGTAGATGGGACACTTGACTCATTGCAGGTCACTACATTTGCAGATTTCTGCATTATCTTGGGCAAGTTGCTTGATACCAGCTTTGAACATGATCTGCAAAATGAGAGGTAGCATCACTGGCTTGATGTACTGGGAAGGTGCTTAGTAAGTGTCGTAGAAGGCAGGTGCTGCAGAGAGCTGATCTGGGGGTAGAGTGGCTGTGCAAGCAGTTACCAAGGCTTACTTCTGCTGTGTTTAATCTTGTTCGGAAGCTCTGTCATGGTCACAGTGAATTGTGATCAAAGCAGCTTGAAAGTTTGTCATGGCTCAGGGATACAATTTATGACCCACCTTCCGTTGGAGACCTAATGAGCCAATGACAATGGATTTGCAAGTTTTGAGGGGGTCATTTTTCAGAATTCAAGCCTCTGGCAAACAGCTCACTGTGATTCAAATAAAAATATGACCTCAGCATAATTGAGCACTCTCTGGACAGCTCTAAAGCTTGGACTGGGAAGTCAAGGGACAGCATTTCTGCTGGCAGATATTAAAAAATTATTTGATCCTTTTTGTGCTGGCTAGTTTATATCTTTCTTGCTTGCAGACTGATGGAAAAAAATACTGCCCTGACAAAGGGAACTCCCAGTGGCCACATCCAGGAGATATTAGGGGAAATGTAAGGTCCAGTCTAAGCCTTTTCATCTTCAAGCTGCAAATTCCCTTGGACTGGCAGAGTATCTTCTGTTGGGTCAGCTAGTTTTGGCTGCTCGTGTGAGCACAAGTCAGAAGACTTTATTGGTGGTGACTCACATTTTTCCAAACTGTGTTATGAAAATCTCACATAAAAATTAGGAACCTGAATTTAAAGGCGACAGATGTAATGAAGCATGAAGAACTATTAGTTTCTTTCTCCTTCTTTAGTCCTTCAAAACAAGGTGGAGGCCAGTTTTCTAAATTACCGGAGTATTAACAGGCTAAGAACAATTATCATTGTTCTCATTTGTACTGTAACAGCATGTGGGGATCCCAGCTCTGTGCAGAGGCGTGGTGCCATTTTTTGCTGCATGAACAGAGAGCAGTCGTGCCCTGAAGAGCCTCTCAATCAGCACTTGGGCAGCTCAGAGCAGTTCTGGAATATGCACCATTAGAATGGATCTGGGCTAAGGATCCCCCAAGCCTGATCTCCTGCTTTTGATACTGGCTGGCATCTTATGCTTCAGTGGAAGATATAGTTCTGTAAGTGATTTTTAAAGTATACTTCCGTACAGAAACGTAATCCTGTGCAATACATCCTGTGTTGTCTGTATGCTACTTAGCTTAAGGTGAACTTAACAGCACTACCGTATAAAAGTTTGTCTTAAATTTCATGTGACAGCATGTTGCACAGATTAATTATATGCTATTTCTTAATCCTGTTTATGTATCAGATATATGGTTTTTGGCCTTTAATTTCATCACGTGCCCCTTTACCCTTTTATTACTAGAGAAAGTAAACAGCCTTGAGAAACTATAGTGTTTGGTTGTTTGCAGTGTTGTTCTGTCTCTATGTGTGTATATATGTGAGTGTGTGTTAACTGCACAGTGGTCTTTTCTCCGCCATTTCTCTCTTACTTGCTTTTATGCTGAGCTTTAGTCTAATAACATTCCTTTAAACGTACTTCAGGGGAGGAAGATGACATGATGATTACAGTAAATAGAAGCCAAGGTGTTGCTGCCTTTTAGCTCTGAGGTTCTTGTAAGAGAGAATTTCACCTTACCAACCTGAATATCCCATCTTTACACAGTAGATCCCATGCCCGGGGAAGAATGGTTTTGTAGGTAATACGAAAGGATTCTGATGCAGAACTAGCAGAAGATTTGAGATTCTAGCTTCCTAATTATTTCAGTAGGGAGTTACGGGTGTAAAGATAGTACTCATTACATTGTGGCTTGTGTGCTTACGGTAAGACTTCACACTGAGTCTTTTTTCACACCCAAGGATTTCATATTTTCATTCCTATTTCTTCCTGTAATTGCCTCCATACTACTCCTGTAGGGGCTGTAGAGCTGGGACAGATATTCGCAGCATGAGGAAATTTCAGGTTTTAAGAGAAGCAGATTTTTTTTCACTTATGTGGCTGTGAGCAGTATACTGCTAAAGCTACATATCAAGTAGGTTTTGGGGTGTTTCTTAACCTGGGCTTGCAGCAAGTGGGAGGAAGTGTTGTAGTAGGACCTTAAAGCCTGGGGAAAGGCAGTGAACTCTCTATCACTGGCAGTATTGTAGGCAACACCTGCAGCAGCTCAGGAGAGTGTGCTAGAAAACATTCTTTATTCTTAACACAGCCATCAAATGCTTCTGTAGTTTGAGGCACAGTTGGTGGAATGACAGAAACATGCATCTAGCTGGGAAGAATGAGGTAATAACAATTAAGAAAAAAAAAAAACACTTTCTGGTAATCCTCTACAAGTATAGCACGAAAGGAAAAGATATAATTCCCATTGTAGCTCAGCTGATTTCTGCTGGTGCAAAGCAGTGTGCTGTTAGGCTAGATTCAGAGGCAGCCAGAATCGCCAGGTGAATTAGTCAAGCTTTCTCTGCTTTTTTGGACCAAGAGAGCCATTTCAAACAGGATTTAAAAATGAGGAGAGTGCACAGTTTTAGCAGAATAGGCATTTCTAGATACTTATTAACTGTTTTACTCTGTATATTTGTCAGCTGTCTTTGAAAACCTAGGACAGTGAATTCAGAGTAGAGCACACAGATGCTCCGTCGCTGTGGTGATGGATAGGTTTATGTCAAATAAAAGCAGCTGCTCGTAACTTGCTGGGAAGATGGACAGAGAAAGATTGTTCTGAAATTACAGCTTGTGCTAAAAGAAGCACTTTAGTGTTTGTGATGTTTGCATCATTACTTGTGGTGATGGTTGTGTGCATCATTACTTGTGGTGGTGTAGTTGTGCTAAGAGCCACACACACATACAATAAAAAGATGATCCTTTTACCCATTCCTGC